GATCTCGTCTTTCACCACCCAGTCCTCTTCCACTTCTAGGATTGGGTGGATTTTGGGTCTAAGAAGGGATTTGAGAGACTCAGACTTCAACAGTATTTTGAGCCTTATTGCAATTCTTGATAACGTTGTCTTAGACCCCACTAGGGCGGATTCTAGAATTTTGACACCTACCCCCAATGTTATTTTCTCTTGTGCTTCGTTCTTCAAAGTCTTAAGTCATTCCACCAGTCCTACCCTTTCCCCCTTCCCTGTTGGTGAGGTTTGGTGCAGAGCTATACCCCGTAGGGTTAGTAGTTTTTGTTGGGAAGCCTATCTGGAAAGAATCAACACTAGTGATCTACTCCTAAAGAAGAGACCCAATACTTTCTTGTCACCTCAGTGGTGTGTTCTGTGTAAAACAGATGGGGAGACTAGTTTTCACCTACTGGTGTCTTGCCACTTTGCAAGGTCAATTTGGGATTGGGCATTCTCCTTATTTGGATGCAGTTGGAATCCCCCATCAGACATGCAGGGCCTTTTCTCCCCTTCCTTTTTCAGGTGACGATTAAAAAGGGGAAGGACAATGTGGAGAGGAATAAGGGCAGCAGTATGTTGGACACTGTGGGAAGAAAGAAACTCTAGGATATTCTTAGAAACTCAGAGAGGAGCAGCATATCTGAGGGCTATCATACATATTAGGGCGGTACAGTGGCTGAAATCTTTGGAATTATTCACAGATTACACTGTGGATGACATGTTGAGGAAGTGGGGTGAAATTGCAAATTGCATGCAGACCAAGTCAGTAATGAGAGTGGCTTGGAACCCCCCACCTAGTGGATTCTTAAAATTAAACTTTGATGGGTGTAGTAGGGGAAACCCGGGACAATCGGGGATCGGGGGTGTTTTTAGGGATGAAAATGGGGTCATCTCTATTATGTTCTCAGGCCCAATTGGAGTGGGTGGTTCCCTTAGAGCTGCGATCTTTGCAATTATGGAAGGAGTCCGGAAAGCTAAGGAATTGAACATCAAGAAACTCATAATTGAAGGGGATTCAGAGGTGGTGATAGGGTGGTGAGTAAAGATCAAAATGATTTATGGAAGTACAATAATGAGAAGAGGTAATTCAAGTGGCTGGTGCGGGAGATGGAAGTTAAGACATGTTGGATTAAAAGATTGGCTAATTCCCTAGCTGACGGTTTAGCTAACCAAGGGGCAGAAAGGGATTCATTGTTTTGGGCTAAGCTGTAACTTTAGTGTCTTTGTCTTTTCCTTTTTTCCTTTTTGAARTTCTTTGTGATTCTTGGAARATGAGTGTGTTTGTCTTCCACTTGTAAATTTTCTACTGATGAAGTAATGAAAGTGTTATTGATAAATATATATATATATATATATATATATATATATATATATATATATATATATATATATAAACATTGCTCATAATCCTATTCGGTATGATCGTACAAAAACATATTAAAGTGGATAGCATTTCATCCGAGAGAAAATTGATAGTGGAGAAATTTATTTGCCCTTTGTAAGATTCGATGATCAACTTGTTGACTGCTTTAGTAAAGGAGTTCACAAGCCAAAGTTCAATAGTAACCTAGGCAAGTTGGGCAAGATAGATATCTAAGCTCGGCTTAAGGGGGAGTGTTGAGAATATGTAATATGATGAAAGGGTTTTTTGGGTTTTTTATTTCCTCTTTGTTTTGGGCGCCTAAATAAGGACAAACTTGTACTTTCAGCAACATTATAAATTTTTGGTCTCTAGTGTGAACAGTAACTCGAGACACACATTCCTAACATTTCTTTTTCTCATCTTTTCCCTTCTTCTCCTCCTTTCTCTTCTTCTTCCTTTGTTTTTAGGCTTCACCTTAAACAACTACCAACAATGTGACAAAAGGACAGCTGGTGGTGACAAAACAACAACCATAACCCACTTCCCTCTATGACATCAAGGGGTCATCATACCACTGATACCAAATGCAGAAGAGCCCTCTTCCCATCTGTGACACTAGACATAAGTTTGATGGTTGTATGGGTTTGAATTACATCATGTGGGATCACATGTTTAAGTTTAGAGATAGATCTACTATTTGTTTGATGAACTACAAGGTTGAAGCCATCACTCGCCATGGTACTTCAGTTGTTACTTATTTTCTCCAGCAAAAGAAAGCAAAACCCTTGATCCCTTTCAAGAAGTGGTTTCTCGAAGCCCTAGAGAAAACCAGTCCACATGTTCTTATATAGTGGACTTCACTACGAAGTGATTTTACTTGAGTGCAACTCAAATTCAGCAGGGTAGGCCTTCACTATGAAGTGATTTTACTTGAGTGCAACTCAAACCTATTTGTCGGGCCTGCACCGGTGATTCTATGGTTGTTTGATGAATTGCTTACTAGAGGTTTAGTAACATGGAATTGGGTTTTTCATCAATTTTGTAATCTAGATCGGCTAGAGAAGAAAGGTTATAAGCTTTTAAGGTCGAAGTGGTTGGTTGTTGAATTGTCAAGTATCCTTCACTTTGATGACTTACATCCCGTTGTAAGTAGGATTATCAATGATCCCTGAAAATCTGAGGCCCGATCCGACATCTGATCTGATTATATTATAATATTTATTAGTTTTAATATATAAGTTTTATATAAATATATTTACAATTATAAAAACATGTTTTATATATTATATTATATATGAACTTATATATACAATTTTAGTATGTTATATTTATATTAATTTATTATATATAAAAGTTAAATAAATAAATAATTTTTTTTATTTTTCTGATATTTTAGAGAATTTAAAGTGGAGTTGGATTAAATCTGAATCCGATCCGAGTCTGTTAGGATTCGAATTTGAATCCAAGTCTTTAAACCCAATCGGATTTTGGATCAAATTTAGATGTAGGCTCTTAGTAATCAGATCAAATGTAGATTTTGCTGCATCCAATCCAAATTCAATCCGATTACAACCCTAGTTGTGAGTCCAAACAGGTGGAGGTTCCATGGGAAGAATATGTTCACCTTGATCCAAATGATCCCAAATTGGTGGCAATCAAAGTCAGAGAAAAGACCCTTTTGAGATAAACAGGATTTGGTACTATGACTCAATTTTGGAAAGAGTACAAATACAAATATGTATAGTAAAAATACATGCAAATTAATATAAAATATAAGGTTTTGCACTCTACATATTTGTATTTATACTCTTTCCAAACTGAGCCTATTATATGTAGAGATAGCCAAAAAGATTTATTTCTTGGAATTGGTATTAATTACTACCACGAGGTTTCTTTCTATGCTGCTGCAATTGGACTCTATGTCGAACTAAAAGGGTTGTACAACAACTTTGTGGGTAGGATCATGAGTCTTGCAAGATGGCTGAATTTCCTGAATATAATTATTGGCCAAGCAATACCACCATACCTTATTCCAACAATCCGAAAGGGCTCTGGAGAGATTTTAACTGTGGGGGTATATCATGCCATGGCTTTCACTGAGCAATGTGTATATGGACATTACTATGGACCAAGGTTGGTGATAATTGAACTTATGGTAAGGGTGGAGATGCAGCTGTTTGTAGAATTCAGGGACACGTCTCTTCCAGATATTTACAGGGGAAAGGGTTAACAAAAACCAGAATGGAGTTTGATCTATCATCGTTGCACACGTCTCTCTAAATATTATGATTGCATGTCCCAACAGCAAATGTGCTTGGGAGAGGTGGGAAGCCAAATACCGTAAGATTCATAACGTCAACCTTGAGAACAAAGCTGCAGCTAATGGGAAGGGAATGTTATGAGCCATTGATAGCAAACGACTTTCACTCTGTTCCAAGTAGTCCTTTCCATGACAGCTTTCACTCTATTCTGGATAGCCCTTTTCATGATTGCTTTCACTCTACTTTAAATAGCCCTTTCTGTGATTCGAAATTAAGACATTGTCATAGGTTCTAATACTAAATGTTGTGTGCTTGACCAATATGCCTAAAGCCTTAAGACTGATAGAACTGTGCGCAGCTAAACACTTTAACCATTTAGGACTGTAACAATTTGTAATGATTTTGAAAAGTGATACCAATTTAATGATTCCAGTCAGCGCAACTAGAATGTTTCCACATCAGCCTCAACGAATTAGAATATCATATCTGCATTTTCCACGATTTTCTTTGAATAGAATCAATAAAAAATATCAAATGAACTCGGATTGAAGTGAGACCACCACTAAAACATTTATAAAATCTAGATTATTCAAAACCCTAAATTCACATCTAAGGCCTCCATAGAGTTTGCTGAAGTCATTGCATGGACATGATGACATCATCCCTAGTCAAGATCCTCCAAAAGGTCAGAAAAATGTGCTCCCCCTACTCTAATATCAAGTAGTGAAAAAGGATTTAACTAAAAATGAATAAAATGAAGAGACGAAAGGAAGAAAAGAGGAAGTGAGAAGTAGGGAAAAAAAAGAGAAGAAATGAGTGTTAAGGGCAGAAAAAGTGACGAACACCCCATGAATTAGCTTATATAATAATAGATAAAATTACAAAAGTACCTTTAATTAGTGGAGAAATTAGAAACTCACATAAAGAGACAAAAATACCCCTGATTCAAATAAGCTTATTCTTCACACTCGCAACAGATAACAACAATGTTAATCCAGGATGTCTTGACCTGCAAGAGATGTTGATAGATGCTAATAAACTAATAGATGTTTCAATCTGCCCTTGCAACGATGTTAGGATACAACTAGGATTGGATTATTTTCATAGTCTAAACTTGCAAAAGAGTCATGAGCCTAAGCCCCTGTTTATACTTTTACCAAAAAAAGTCCCTGTTTATACTAATTGGCTAGAACGTTTGAATTGAATATGAAAAAATATTCACCCGTTTAAGATGATCCTTTCTGTTGTTATACATGGAGCTTATTCAATGGTGTATCCTGATCATCTAATTTGACATGTGGCAAATTACTGTGAAATACATGTATATGCTTATAACCTATTTAACGTCCTTGTTCTATCAGGGAACAAGAAAAGTTGAAGGTCTTGCCTTGAACTTCCCAAAATGGGAAGAGACACATGTAGGTGCTAAAGCATTTGCAAAGATGCACAACCTAAGGCTGTTGAAGGTCAATTATGTAAACATTGAAGGAGGATTTGAATATCTTCCCAAGGAGTTGAGATGGCTATACTGGTTTGGATTCCCTTTGAGATCTATACCAATGGAGTTCAATCTACAAAACCTTGTTGTCCTTGACATGCAATATAGCAGAATAAAAAAAGTTTGGACAGAAACCAAGGTATGGCATAAATTTTATGTTTATTTTTCAGTGGGTTGTATATTTCAGAAGAAATGATATCCTCTTTCTCCTTTTTCTTTTTGACAGTTGCTTGAAAAGTTGAAAGTTCTTAACCTCAGTCATTCACATGACTTGATCAGAACTCCTAACTTCTCAGGAATTCCCAACCTTGAGAGATTGATTCTTGAAGATTGTTTAAATTTAGTTGAGGTCCATGATTCCATTGGAGCTCTTGACAGATTGATTTACTTGAATCTGAAAGACTGCAGTAAACTTAGAAGTCTTCCAAGTAGCATTTGTAAGTTGAGATCTCTTGAGAACCTTATTCTGTCAGGCTGCTCAAGATCTGTACAGTCACCACCAAAATCATGGCATTCATTCTTCTTCTGGCCTTGGGGTTCACTTAGTAAACATTCTAATTCCACCAAACTACTACCAGCTTCTTTATCTGGTTTGTGCTCCTTAAAAACACTGAATCTCCGTAACTGCAATCTATCAGAAGGATCAATTCCAAATGACATTGGGAACTTATCCTCACTGCTATTGTTGGATCTGAGCAAAAATAACTTTTCTAGCCTACCAGCCAGCATCAATTGCCTTTTTAAACTCAAGGTCCTTTTCTTACAAAATTGCAAGAGGCTTCAATCATTACCTGAGCTGCCATCAAGTTTAAGGGTCTTCAATGCTGATGATTGCACATCATTGGAAAGATTGTCGAATATGGGGAACCTATCCTCACTGGAAGGGTTAAGTCTAAGTAGAACTAATATCCACACCCTACCAGTTGACATCAGTCACCTTTCTCAACTTCAGGAGCTTTGGTTAAGAAATTGCACAAGGATTCAATCTCTACTATTCCTTCCATCAGCTTTGAAGAGCTTGTATGTGGATGGTTGCACATCTTTGGAGACATTGTCAAATCTATCACATTTGCAGAACATCTCCGTCTTGACTCTTGCTAATTGCAACAAGCTAGTTGAGATCCAGGTCTCTCTCTCTCTCTCTCTCTCTCTCTCTCTCTCTTATTGCTAACCATTTATAATTTCCATGAACGCAGTGGCTGTCTTCACACAGTGGTATATTCGATATCTTTCTCCCTGGAAGTGATGTTCCTGAGTGGTTCAGCAATCAAAATATCGGGTCTTCAATTTATCTTGAGGTGCCTGCACTTTCGGATTGTAGGCTTCAAGAGTTTCTTGTATTGGCTGTTTATACAGGTGACAGAGCTACCAATGAGAATGTTTTTGGTCCTCGCATTAAAATCATTAATGAAACCAGTGGTCTTAAATGGAGTTATGAGTCAACAATTTATTTCGTTTCAACTACCTCCCAAGATCAAGTGTGGATGTGTAGGATTCCAAGAACTGTGTTTGAGAATGTGTTTGAAGTTGGTGATCGGTTGATTGTCAAAGTAAAAATAGGGATTCCACTTTGGGTGAAGAAGTGTGGAGTTCATCTAGTGTATAACACAGATCATGAAGAGGATTCCCAGTTAAAAGACCAAAGAATGGTGCAGTACACCTGGAAAAAGAGACATAATGACTACGATGCTAGATCTAACTGTGACAGCAAAAGGTTGAGACTGACCTGATTCAAGTGCATCCAGATTAAAAACAGGTAGGAGGATGTTATAATTAGCTTTTCCTTACTGAACTATCTTTTCCCTTTAGATAAATATAAAGTATATATTGATGAGAGAGTGTATATATATGTTAAGAAGCCCTACCAACTTCAACATTGATAAATATCGACTCCCATCCCCTCTATACCCTCTAGGGAAGAAACATTTAACTGTCATTCGTAAGACATTTTCAGGGGATAAAGCTAGAATGATATTACTTGTGCACGAGCTTATCAGAAAGCTAGAATAAACTACATATAATTATTGTAAGGAAGCGTGATTGGTTTTCTGCATAATTATTATTCGATGTTTTCAGGTCGAATAAAGAGATGACTTATCAAAAAAATCAAAAAAGAAGCTGTAGTTTCTTCCTATATATAGTCTTAAGGCTGCAACTTGGGCGAGGTTAATTGACCCAAAGTTGGGTTGGGCCAGGTTGGTGCTCAGGATAGATTTAGGGTTGAAATTCATGAACGTACCCAACTTTATTTTGGGTTAGGTTAGGGTTGACCCATCGGGCAGCCCGACCCAACTTCAACTCGACTCTATAGTACATATCATATATATATATATATATATATTGATTTGTTTATATGCATGACAGCTAGCTGTAAAGCTCCACCACATACTATCATGTCTTTCTTTAAGATAATTACTTCACTTAATCCTAGGAAATTTTAAAACCCTAATAACATATTTTATGTTTTTTTGAATATTTTATTCTTCATCTTCTCTTTGTTGTTTGCCACCCATAGCTTGATGCTTATAAAATATCTATCATAAGTCATAACTCATAATAAACTATAGTCATTTCAAACACTTATTTTTCTGAATATTGAACTAAAAGAACCAATAAAAACATCAACAAACAAATACTAATAGAACATAGGACTAATATATGTAGCGAAAGTTGAGTTAAGATATTAGATTGAGAAGTTCTACGAGATTTTAAGGGATGGGAAGAAGGTTAGGTTGGGCCCAACATGAACTCAACCCAATCCAAAGACTTTGGGTTGGGTTGGGTTAAAGTTGAAGGAATTTAGTTAGGGTTGGATAGATTGGGTTGAATGTCAGGTAGGGTTAGGGGTTTAGAACTTAGGATTGGGCTAAGGTTGGCCTCAACCTGACCTAACTCGACCCAGCTTGCAGCCTTAATAGTTTATGAACCGCCAACCATGAATGTAGATTTCTCACTATCTTTTGTACCATTGAGTCTACTAAGCTTTTGGAAGATCCTGCCATTACTCTCTTGTCATAATACCCAAAACACAGCTGTTGGATTCTTATTTTTTAGGGGGAAGAATCAAAGGACAAGAATATTTTGTTCCCTCACTTTGTTGTTTTTTGTCTTTATTTGATATTGTCTTTTGCACTCTTGTAGCCTCTTAAACATGTGAATACCTCTTGTCCCACATTGCTTAGTAAAATATGTGGACTTGAGTATATTTCTAAATTTGCTATCCTGGGAGGAAGATACATTATACACTATTCACATGCTTGTGGGGGATTGGGGTTGGGGTGCTTTTCACCCACGTGCACAATGGGCTGGATTAAGGTAGGGTGTGGGTGTGTATGTGCACCACACCATGTCTATTTTGGTCTTGATCATTTATTTCAAACTTGTTTGACTTAAGCGTTTTGACTGTTTACCCTTTTGTCTTCCTATCTGTGTCTCTTCGAGCAAGTGGCCTACAACACCGTTCTGGAGAGACATATCTCTCTGTAAGGACACAACACACACCACTTTCTTCTTTGTCCACAATCTATCAAATATCTAAGCATCTTCCATTGATGATTTGTAGAGGACTGGTACAGCCACCAAAGCCCATGGATTGTTTCATTTTGGAATCTGATTTGCAATTACTTGGCTGCACTGTAAGGCGCAATTGTGGTTTTAAGGAGAATGACCAAAATGGCACAACTCAGCCTATTTAAGTCTACAATTTCTCATTTTGTTGTCAATTTTCCAGTACTAGTTATGCAACACTACTGCACTTCGGGTTTGGAAAACACAGAACAATAAGTTCCATTCTCCCTTCTCATTATTATTTTTATAACAATCTTAAAACTGCATTTGTGGAACTTATTTCCTCTTCCCTTATCATGGGAAATCTGAGGCTATTAATAGTTCTTGATTTTTCTAAGACTGAACCAATTAATAAAACCAACTACAAGCATTAAGACAATGCCTTCTTTTTGCCTTAGAATAGTTGGGGTAGCTTTTGCTTTGGTTGAACCAAACCTAATAAACATGGAGGAACTAGCCTATTCTGTTGTAGAACTGGTTCACGGCTGATCACCTATGCAACAACCATATCCTGAATTGCCTATCCAATGAACTTTACAATGTCTATTTTTTATACAAATTTAACTATGAAATTTGGGATGCCTTAGAAAAATATGCTCTAGAAGATGCTGAAAATAAGAAATATGTTATTATCAATTTCTTGCATTTTACCATGAAAGAAGACATTGACGTGTCTGCTCAAATAGATGAGTTTCAAGTGCTTGTGGTGGAACTAGCAAAGGAAGGAATGATACTACCCAATGAATTTATTGTCAGCTCTCTCATAGAGTAGTTGCCACATACATTGAATGATTTCAAAATAAGTATAAAGCATAAAAGAAAAGTCACTACTTTGGATCAAGTGGTGGTTCGGATCATAATAGAAGAAAAGAATAGAAAGAAGGATCATGTAGAAAAAAATAGATTTCCAAAACCAATTGGTGGAGGAAATAACTGCAATATTCAAAAAGAATTTGAATGTGAATGTGAAAAATGACAAGAAGTTTAAGAAGCAACAAAAGAAAGGACAATATTATGCATGTGATAAACCCGAGTATAACAAGAATGAATGTCGTTACCAAAATGACTTTAGGAAACCAAAAGTCAACTAAGGCAAATGTTATTGTAGCCTTGGCAATTGAGGCAAACTTGGTTGAAAAACTGAAGGAATGGGTGTTGGACATTGGTGCTACTAAGCACATATGTAGGGACCACAACTCCTTTTATGAGTACACAATTTTGATAGAAGGAGAATAAGTCTTTATAAGAAATTCATAAATTTCGAAGGCCATCGATAAAAAAATATACTTCTGAAATTAACTTCAAGGAAGATCTTAATGCTAAATGATGTAATACATGTGCCAAAAATAATGATGTAATGATGTAATGATAAATGATCTTAACAAAGTAGGACTGGAACTTACATTTGAAGCAAATAAGATTGTGTTGACTAAAAATATGTATTCATTAGAAAATTATATAATGCTAGTGGTATGTTTGTACTAAACATTTTTGTTACTATTATCAATAACAATGCTTCCTCTTTTGCTTATATAGTTGAATCATTTGATATTTGTTAGATTAGGACATTGTAGTGCTTCTTATATAAAAAGGTTATGTAAATTATGAGTTCTGAATGTTCCTATAAAAGGTACAAGTGAAAAATGCCAAGTATGTGTAAAAGCAAAGTTCACTAAAAAATCATATAAAAGTATAGAAATTTAATTGGAGTTATTACAACTTATACATAGTGATTTAGGTGATCTTAAATTTTATAAAGCTATAAGAGAAATATATTATATGACATTCATAGATGACTATTCTAGATATGGAAAAGTTGTTTACTTATATCAAAGGATGAGGCTGAACAAGCTTTTATAGCATATAAAATTGAAATAGAAAATTAGTCAGGAAAAAAAAAATAAAAAGACTTATAACTGATAAATGGATTGAATATGATGAAGAAACAATTAGAAAATTCTTTGAAGAAAATGGAATTATACATGAAACTACAACCCTTACCAATATGAATCAAATGGAATTGTAGGAAGACTTAATAGAACTTTAAAAGAAATGATGAATGATATGCTAATTAGTTTAAGTGTACCTTTGAATTTGAGAGGGGAAGCAATCCTAACTTGTTATATATACAATAAAATACCTCCCAAAAAGAATGGACAAATTCTATTTATACTTTGGGTGACGGAATGCTCACATTTTTAGTGCACAAAGATCTAGTAACATATCAAGAAGTAGTAATTTTCCTTGATGCAGTATTTTGGAAAGAAGAGTGAAATAGATTCCTTGATCACTAATTATACTTGGGAACTTGTGGAACTTCCACCTAGAATTAAGGCACTAGTTTGTAAATGGATATTTAAGAAGAAGTTAAACCCAAATGGTACAATAAATAAATTAAAGACTAGATTAGTTGCTAAAGAATACATACAAAAGAAAGATATAGACTTCTTTGACACATATTCCCTAGTAGTAAAATTAACTACAATTAGAGTATTGTTTGCTATAGCATGCATATACAAACTTGTAATTCACCAAATGGATGTAAAAATAGCTTTATTAAATGGGGAATTGGATGAAGAAATTTACATTAAAAAACTTGAAGGCTTTATAGTACAAAGACAGGAAAACAGAGTGTGTAAACTAATTAAGTCTTTATATGGCTTAAAACAAGTTCCTAAACAATGGCATGAAAATTTTGATAATGTATTAGTGAAAAATGGGTATGCTAGAAATGATTCCAATAAATGTGTCTACAACATGTAGATGATAAAAAGAGTCATTTTTTGCTTGTATGTTGATGATATGTTAAAAATGAGAACAAGTCTTGATATAGGATAAGAAATAAAACAATTTTTAATGTCCAAATTCGACACTAAAGACATGGGTGAAGCTAATGTAATTTTAGGAATTAAAATCTACAAACAAACATCATCCTTTCACAATCTCATTATGTAAAAAACATACTTAAAAAGTGGACATTATGATTGTAAACCAGTCAAGACAACACTTGATTGTAGTATCTATTTTAAAAAGAATGTAGGAGAACCTGTTTCGCAAAAGGAGTATGCAAGTATAATTGGATTTGTTTCTTATTTAATGAATTGTACAAGACCTAATATAGCAATAGTTGTTAGAAAATCAAGTCAAGATACTCATAACCACAGATATGAACACTAAAAGCTTTGATAAGACTACTAAAATATTTAAAGGGCATCATGAACTATGACTTGCTCTATTCAAGTTTTTTTCCTATCTTAGAAAGCTTTACTAATGCAAATTGATTTCAAATTCAAAGGATAGTACGTCTACTAGTGGATATGTCCTTACCCTAGGAGGGTAGCAATCTCTTGGAAATCAATAAAACAATCTTGTAATACAAATTCAACAATGGAGGTTGAGTTTATTACGTTGGAATTAGAGGTATAAATCAGGCCGTGGTCCGACCCGGCCTGGCACAGCACGATGGCCCACGGGCCATGTCAAGTCCGACACGAAGGTCCGTGCAATGCTAGGCCAAGGGTTCGAGGTCCACGGGCTGGCATGACATGACTGTTCATGTCCCATAGCACAACCCGTCATGGGCAGACATGACACGGCCCGCAAGGCCCATAGCGAGTCGAAAGCATCCCGTCCAGAATATAGACATTGCCCC